TAGTGAATCGGAAAGAGTGTGACGAATAAGTCATCATCCAATGTCATCGTCTTGTTTTCGATCCACTATCAAACAAAAAAGAAAAGAAAATACCTAAAAGTAGTCATGTGATATAATAGTAACAACTATTTATATATATAGAAGATGTTTAAATTTCTTGCTGGTCGTCTGACAAAGACTTCATCGAAGTTGAAACGTCATCAATAAAAAAGCGATAAATCAGAAAAGACAGAGTATTAACAGCATATCAATTGAAAAAAAAAGTGTAAATTATAATTTTCTTTCGTCTAAAAGAAATATAGAATGAAACAACTTATCGAACCATTTTTGGAGTTAGTATAGGTCGATTTCGCTGTCATAATTAAGTATTCAATTGTGCTCATCTATGCTTCCTTAAGTTGCTATTAACATTGATTTTTTTCTCACCTCCTGATAAAGTTTTTGTCATGCTATTATGCATGTTTTTCAAACCCAACTTGTCAAGAACGAAACAAACGTCACTTATAATAACATGTTTTGAATGATCAAGCCGTCGTGTTCGTGCCGAGTAATAGATGGTTTCAAATACTGTTAGATCGTTATGCATGATATCCGCTTGTGGTACATAGCCAACATAATCGGTAAGTAAATTAGATAATGGATGGTGTTCAGCAAATGTGATGAAGCCCTTCTTGCGTGGTCTTCGTCGACCATAAATCGTTTCCAAAAGACTACTCTTGCCACACCCAGAACCACCCATTAATGCTGTTAACCTTCCGGCAGTGATACGACCTGTGAATCCCTGATTTTGTACCGGATCGAAACGGGTAACATTTCGTAATTTTGTTTGATAGAGATGAATATTAAGCCGAAATTGTGGTGGCGAATCACTTGATCTGTCAGGTTCTCTAAAGTAGTCACTGATGTCAGAAGAATTGTCTAATGTGTGTTGCCCAAAACGTTTCTTTTTCAAGATAAGCCATTGAGAAATTTTAGCAAAAGTGGCAAAAACGATAATGATAACGATAGTAGCAACAGGGAAGCTTCTTATAAGATGTAGTCGTCGAGCTCTTCCATTTAAACAGAGAAAGTAGGATGGACAAGGCAATGGCTCTAGAACACCAGTTGGACAATAGCTTGTCTGATTTGGACACGGCATCATCTTACTAGGGCTTGAACAGTAGAATTTAGATGGACAGAAACCTTCAAATGTCGATCCACCACATCCGTAATCATCAAAATCATTGGGCTGTTGCTTTGGGCATTTCACTGGAGTTTGGCAGATTCCATCAATTGATTTCAATGGTGATGGACAGTAGGCACCCGCTCGACAAGGAATCATACAGACTTGTCCATCCGGACAAAAATAACCAGGACAGCAGGCCAATGGTTTGCTTTTATTTGTCAACAGAAAAAATCCCGACTGACATTGTTTTCGATCTTGACCACATTCACGAAAATTGTATACTGTATTCACCGCGTCCTGAGGATTAATATAGAACTTTTTGATGATGCTGAACGGGCAAATATTTTCTGCAATGAATAAGTCATCTTCACACGAAGTACCAGCTGAACATTGAGGATTGAAACTCCACTGTGTTTGACTTTGATTCGGTTGGCATTGTAAACATGACAAACTGTCATGCAAAGGTGTCTGATTATTTTTATAACATTGACTCCCGATATAGCAAGAGTTTTTAGCAATCATACAAGTGCCATTTTCACAAGTTTGGCAAGCCGAATTGCAGTCTGCAGGGCACAATGCCGATAAAATGACACTTGGGCGAACGAGTGTCACGAAGAGAAGAAGCATAGACGATGACATTGACAATGGCATACTCTTTATGATCATTTAGATATTGACATAGATATATTGTACTATAAAATTTCAGGCATCAACAGCTGTCGGTATTATAATATCATCATCATACACCGAGAATAACAGCATAACTGAATAATTATACATCATACATCAATAACGACAAGAAGAGAAAAAGAATGGTATCCTTTCCTCGAGAAAAAGAATAAACGAATAAACAGGGATAGTGAAGGCACGTGATGCTGAGAAGCGAAGAGGACAACGAGAGAGAGTCAAGTCAATAGATGAGATTCTAACACATCTGTTTTTCTATCTAACGACGTACCAGTATCTGTTCTTCCTCTTCTTTGCAGTTTCCTTTTATCCGTTCTTCATCGTTTTGCTCTGAGAATACATGTATTCGATAGCATGTACAGTCGAATAGAGATAGAATCAACAGACAGAAAATAGTACAGTAGCTGAAATGATCGTTGATGACGATACTCAATAGCAGCAGCCATCGTTTGCCTTCGTTTTCTTTTCTCTCTCAATAGTGTTTGCTATTCTATTGAGGACGATCCGCCAATGATTGTCATCAAAAAGAAACATAGTTAATTGAGAATCGTTTTTAGTGGAAATTTGGTATGAGGGTTGACCCAAAAAGAAAAATATTTTCTCTCCTTGATGTATTTTCTTTATCTCAGAAATAAATACGCCGATATAATTTATATCATGTACAGAATTGGAAAAAATATTTTGATAGGGGGGTACCGCTATATTTTTAAATAGAGTTAATAGTGAATTTTATACCAAATGAAAGCCCGTCAAAAATGGGGTTTATTGGTACTAAACAAGAAGGGTTATGGAAACTTTCGTGTATTGAAACTGTCGAAGTTTAAAGAATTTTGCAGAATACAATTATTATAATTCATTTTTAGTGGGTTGTAAGACAAAGAGAACAGGAAAGTTCGAGAAGTTTATGAAATCACATATAAGGTCATTCTCTGATCAATATCTTTCATAAAAAGTCTATCCTTTCGGTGCATCAATTAAATCTAATCATTCTAAAATGGTTGGTACTTATGATACTGAAGAGCAGAGAATTATTGATAGAATCAAATGCATTGCTTTTCGTGAAGCTAGAGATGCTGGTGCAACATTTATTAATCGCCATTGGATTGTGAAGAAAGTTCATCGTTCGGTTCAGTTTGTCACAGACTGGTGGGAAAAACCATATGACCAGTGCTTTGCTGATTACTCAAATGCCGGTCGAAAGTTTAAATTATCACAAGCAAGTCAAGACGTCATTCTTAAAGCCAGTGGTCGACAAAGAAAAAGCTGTTTTGTTGTGGCGAAAGAGATCGAAGAAAAGCAAAACGAATATGTCACTCGAAGAACAATTAATAATTACCGTCACAGAGAAGGATTAAAACCATTTCATGTTATTCCAAAACCGCTAAAATCTGAAACTCACATATCAGAATGACCGAATTTGGGCAAAAAGTGCCGACGATATTGAAGATGAACGTTATCGTGAAACGGTTAAAAATCAACCATACATTGAAATTTTTGTGATATTTACTGCTAAAAGGTTACATTTGGTGATTAAAGATAAAGGTGAAACTTGGACTGGTCAATATTTTCGTGATATAATTTTGACTGAACACGTCTTTCCATTCTTAAAAAAATGAAGAAAATGTTATTGATCCCGATGAAGTTATATTTATCCATGACAAGGCACCATGTATGCGAGCATATTAGACCCAACATTTGTTTCAAGACAATGATGTTAAATTTTGGAGTAATGATATTTGGCCAGGAAATTTGCTCGATCTCAATGTGGCAGAACATATTGGAAGAAAAATCAAGGATGAAGTTGAAAAAAAGATGTTATCAGAACCTGAACATTCTCGTTATCTTGAATAAACACTTCAAATGCACATTTTAGATGCTTTGAAAATCATAGAAACCGACACTGATTTATTTGAAACTCTCTTATGTACGTATCCATCTCGGCTGCGTGCAATAAAGAACGCTAATGGTCGTCACACTGACTATTGATTGTTTTCATTAAACAATGCAAAAATAAAGAATTTTGTATAAGATTTAGTTCGAACTTTATCTCATTAATTACTTTTCTCACACTTATGATCAGTGGAATTTACTAATTTTAAATATTTTAACATACGAAAGTTCCTATAACCCTTATTGTTTAATACCAATAAATCCCATTCTTTACGGGCTTTCATTTGGTATAAAATTCATTATTAACTCTATTTCAAAATATAGCGGTATCCCCCTATCAAAATATTTTTTCCCACCTAGTACTTGCAGCTAGAAACGCATTCAAATGCATCTTGTCTATGCAAAACAGAAAAAAAAGCTACATTTACATGCACGATTGAAACTCAAAAGCATTAGTTGCATATAGGTTAAACGCGTCCGGATGCAAAAGCAAAAAGCAATTGCATTGAAATGCGTCTAAGTTAATATTATTTCCAGTTATGAACGCATTCCGATGCAACAAAGAAACTGTTTGCGTTGAAACACGTTTAAAAACCAATATAAACCAGTCTTGATGCGTTTTAGTCACGAAACGCATCTGAACGCATGCAAGACTTTGCAACGCATTCAAACATCCATATGATGAACGCATTTCAGCGCGTTTGGAGGTTGTGTCAATTCCAGGCGCATTTAAACGCGTCAAAAAAGCGTTTTATGGTTATATGGGCATAACATATTCAACAGGGAAAACTTTCACCTAGAAAAGTATTCTATGTATTATTATTCATTGAATATAATATTCAGAAAAGTTCAAGACTTTCAAGTAACTCTCTTTCCACAACAAATATGAGTCTTCCTAGAAGGAATGATATGTCAGACCTAATCGAATAACTTAATAAACTGTTACATTGTTCTAACAATATTTAGTACACAAGTTATCATTTTTTTTTGCAGCATGAATGTTTTAACAAAAATCCTATTCATATACGTTAAAATAAACGTAAAGAAATGATACTTCATTCAGTGAATCTATCTTACGTAACGCAATATTAATTTAATAACGAAAAAACTGTTTAGTGTTTGTCTGAATAAGCATGACTCTCCCTTGGAGTTGAAAGGGATGATAAGTAAAATTTTTATTTCTTCCAGAAGAAAGAAAGAATGAATGAATGAAATAGAAAAAATCTTCAGTAAGAAAAAACATCTCAACAGAATCATTATGGCTTCTTCAACAACGATAGATATTCTACGAATAAGTCAAACGTATACACGCTATACTAGTCACATTATACTCATTATTGGAATAATCGGAAATTTTCTTAATATTTTTGTTTTTACTAGTTACAAAGCCTTTCGAAATAATCAATGTGTTTTATATTTTGTAACCGAATCGATATCAAATATATGTCAATTAATAATATATTTTGTTATATATGTATTAATAACACTAAATGACATTGATCCAGGAAATTCAACACTTTTTTGGTGTAAATTTCGTGCTATGATGATTGCATTATGTACAGTAATTTCATTTTCTACAATATGTTTCTCTGCTTGTGATCAATATCTTTCGACAAATCTTCAATTCAATATAAGAAAATTGAGTACAACTAAATTGGCTCAAATTCTAATATTTACAGCGATTGTTATTTCAATATTACATGCCATTCCATTTGCTATTTTTCTTGAAATTCGAGCATCGTTATGTCGTGTTTTCAATCCAATAATGTCTCAATACCTATCATTTTTCTATTATCCAATATTATCTGGACTTCTACCAATTTTCATAGCATCATTATTTAGTATTTTAGCATATCACAATGTTCGACGAATTGTTCGACGACAAATACCTATAGTTCGTCGACGACTTGATCGACAATTGACAGCAATGGTCCTTGTTCGTGTTATTACGTTTGTTATTTTAACATTACCTTATGCTATTCAAAGAATGTACACATATCTTGCAAAAGTTGATCAATCAAATCTTTTTCTACTTGCAATTAATACTCTAGTGGCAGGAATTATAAGTTCATTTTTCAATTTAAATTATGCGGTAACATTTTTCAACTGATACTTTTTTGTTTTGTTATTTACATAATGTACTTTTTATTTAGGTATCTTTTTATATATTTATTGCATCTTCATCACGATTTCGTCGTCAGGTGAAACATATCTTGCTAAAAAACTGTTGGCGACGATTGAAACAATGGTTTTCTTGCAATGAAAATCAAATTCATCCAAATATGCCGACACAATTAGTTGATTCAGGCATTGAACTACAATGAAAAGATCTTGACACTAAATTCTTACAGACTTTGCTTTATTATCTCATATAAACTATTTATTTGTAATACATATTAAATAATTACACTATCCATGTCGAAATTTTCGTAATCTTATTTTTTTCACTTTTTTATTCATGGTTAGGTTCGATAGAGCACATTGAGATGCATAGGAAAAATGACTCTCAAATGAAGTCCTCTGTCTGATACAAAAAACTGTCTGAACCCTGTCGACGAAATACGAGTCATTCTATTATTTTTTTCTACTATACATCTGGTAGAGAAATATTTTCTCTCACCTCATGTATTTAGAGATGTACTGCACAATCCTTTACACATACGGTTTTTTAATAGAAGATTTTCGAGTCAATACTTAGATCCAAACATTTTCTATGAAAAAATGTTGACCATAAAGCCCTCTGATTTGTCTAAAAGTACATAGGAAGACAGCGAAAATATTTCTGTACCAGATGCATAGCGAAATAATGTATTGACAGAACGGCTTATATTTCGTTGACCAGGTTCAGAAAATTTCGTTAGACCCGATGAAGGGCTTTACTTGCCAATTTTTTAGAGTGAATTTGTCAAAAAAAGACCTCTTTCGAAAAATTTCATTAAAAAATAGCCTCATGTTTAGAGACTTACACATTATCAAAAAGTATCTTTTATCAAAATTTGATCACTACTCCACCTTTGATTCTTTTCAATTAATATCGTCTGTGGTTCCCCCGGATGAAATTTTGATGGAAAATATTTTGTAATATAATCTAAGTTTCTAAACACAAGGATATTTTTTAATGTTTTGCTGCTGTTATAGAGAAAAAATTGTTTTTTTCTCAATAGGAAATTAAAGTAAAATAAAAAAGCTACTTGACTTTTTTCAGACAAAATGTTCAGAATCACATTAAAAAGTGAGAAAATCTTTTAATCTGAAAAAATGACTTCCTTTGGGAACTCTGAAGATCCCATTTCTCAGAAGTCGCTATGGTGCAAAATATTTTATACTTCTATCATATTTGAATAGTCATAGAAATTACTTTTTCTAAATTAATTTTATTCCACAACGTGGGAGAAAATTTTTCTACAATTGCGCAGAACGAACGTAAAGTGAATGCCATAGAACGTTGATTTGTTATAAAATTTGATTGTTTCTAAAGTGATCCAGTGACCAGTTAAAGATTGAACTTGGTTTAAACAGTTCCTTTTCAATTTAAGACCATTCTCTCTCATCCCTCATAATGGTATGATGTGTTATTCGGCATCGCCTTTTTTAAGAAAAAGCAGCAAATATTTATTTTTAGTTTCTTCTGTGTTAATGTTTGTTTGATACCGTAATTCAGTATTCTCTGTAGGCTCTCATTATATATTTTTTATTCTTTTCTTTGTTTGACAGAACATACAAAGATGTCGGAAGTATCAGAGTTGTTTTTTGAATTACGTCTTTTTACTATTATACAAAACAGTATTTTTTTAAATTAGAACGCCTGTTTTTGAAAGCTTTTTGAGATATTAACTTTGTCAGCCATTTTTGTTCACTTAAAAAGTAAGAATTTGAAAAAAATGCGCTGTCACATCTTGCATCCTAACATGCTGTTCCAAACAGAAAACAAATTAAATATGTAGAACCAGTATTGACAGTGAACTTTGGATTGTCAAATGAGTTTTTGTTGATTCTTGTATGACGAATATTTCTTTCAAATATCATTGTATAGAGCTGACAATTTTTCTATAAACTCTCCGCTGCATTTCAAATATATCTTAAAAACTTTAGTCGATTTGAATATACGTGGTGCAAAATCGGTTTTTGAGGAAGGGGAATGACCATAATGCGACACTGTCAATTTTTTTGCCTTGTTTTTTTCGAACTGTGAACGACGTCCACTAATGTGCATTCTTGGGTATTTAGGAAGTATTTATCAGTTATGAAATTGTACAGAAAATGAATTTTCTTATAGATTCTTTTAAGTCATTGCTAGTCCAATGATAAATATGATATGTTGATAGGCACAAAATAAAAAATAATTGTTGATGAGCGTACATAATCGAGTAACTGCTAATAGTCCAAAAGCTATATAAAATCCAATTATTAGGCTTAATTATAACAAAAAAAGTGACTTTTGAAGTTGTCTTCTAGATGCATTGGATGGGTGTGTGGAACTTCTTTTGAATAACATCCACACCCATTTGACCCGAACCCAAATTCACCTCATCAGTCCCTTAAAAGAAGCTATGTTTCTATAGCTAGTAGGTACACTCCGTAATGCTAAGTAGTCTACTTGGATCCACATCAGAAATGTTGTAGTCTTGAAAGATAACTATAACTTCTCCGTAACAAGTGTCAAAATAAACCACACAGCGCTCAATAGAACCACCAAGTAATGTTGGCAGTTTTTCAAATTCTTCGACACTTCGGTTAATATGAATTTATTTGCTTATTACAATCTTCTTTCTTTCACCCATTACAAAACAAAAAACTAAAGATAAGTTGTAACTTTAACAACAAAACATAATGAAAAAGAAAAATGTCTATTCACGTAATAACAATATAAAATCAATTTTATTTTGTTACTGTAGTCGTTATTACTGTCCATTGTTCGTCGTCTTGATTATCATGATCGAAATGATCTTCATATGATAGGCGACCATTAATTGACCTTCGAAAAGGAGACAAATACGAAGATTAAATTTCTTGCTATGTTAATATTGAGTTCTTATTTGTTTACTCACTCAATATCAGAACATGAAGCATCATTACTATTAAGTGCTTCTCGGGTAATATGATCTTGAATGACTTTATGAATAGCTTTTATTCTTCTCTCATTAATATCATAATTTGCAATATTAAATACAGTCCAAATAGTTTTCCACACCGGCAATATACTAGTTTTGCTCCAACGGACCAAGGATTGATGGACAATTTCTCGACATTTATTTGTTGATGGTAAGATTCTTAGATCATGATCTATTAATGAGAGAAATTGAAAGAAAAGTCAGATATATAATTTGAGGTATTATTTAGAGAAAGATTGCAAGGTAGACACTGACCAGCTGTACTAAAAATACCCCCCACCATTAATTCTAACACGTACTTCGTCATCTCCATTTGGTTCCATTACCAAATAATATCTCTTCTGACTGTGTTGCTTTATGCCATACAATGTTTTCATTTGATGGAAATCCTTTTGTAATCATTTCTTCAAGAGATATCGATACACCAGGTCTGGCTGTTGGATACACTTGGCAATATCGAGGAACGCTATCCAAGCATTTACGCATCAAACCATCTAAAACAGAATGAAAGACAATATTTGTGAAATCAGTTATTAATTCAAAAAGAAATAGTATGATCATGAAGATCCCCTACCAAAATCACCGAATTTGAAACGCGATCGAACCATACTTTTGAATAGTAATGAAGATGCAATCAAAGATCAAAAGAAAAGAAGTTAAATCTAGAAAATAAGCATCTACATAACACATTTATACTTGATAAACAAGAAAGAAACATGTGAACAATAGCAAAGTGATTATTATAAAAAAAACTTTAAGTGCATAAAAAAAAAGATTTTTATATTCAGAATAAATTAATTGATCCAACATTTTCTTATCATCAGCAAAGAGTTGATGTAGTTTGATGATTTGACCAGTTTTCTTAACTGCTTGTCCTGCCCGCTTTTGCCGAGTAACTACAAAAACATTAGCACCTCCTACTAGAGTAGGAAGATTTTTTTTTGAATAATATTGTATTCTTCATTTTTCAGTGTATAGATAAATCTCTTGTTTACTGAGGATACGGTAGGTCTCTACACATCTTCGATGTCATTAATTGCCAATGCAACGGAATTTACGGCTGAATGTTATGCAGTTGAATCACTTCTTCAATCAACACTTGAATGTGTTTTTAATTCATCATGTTTAAGTACTACAATGAAATTCTTTCTGGATACTAATTTGACTAATATCAAGCGTCTTGATGCTAATCAAACTCAATATCCACTTGAAACTATTATTGATATACTTGTTAATAACTGATTCATAAAAAACTGGTCAACATTGAGTTATTTTACAGAATATTGTAACAGTTGTGCTTCTATTCCATCTACATGCACATTCACTGAGCGCAATAATGCTCTTTATATAATGACAAAATTATTAATTATTATTCTACTTTGGATGTTCGGATCATTTTTTTTATTGGAATTATCCTTGGATATTGATTGAAATTGGAATAACAAATAAAAAGCGTCTTTATTTAACTAATTAGAATAAAGCATATTTTTAGATTTCTTCTTGATCATCAAGAAAGAGAAAAGTAGATTATTTTAGTTTTGATGAAACATGTCGGATGTCCGTCTCAATTTTTACAACATTAGGATGTGTAACAGCAAATAAACGACGATAGATTGTAACTGCTTTCTTATAATAGGATAGTGCTTGTTGACGTTCATCTTTGTCTGCATAAACAACGTCTATACGCTCTAATGTCATTCCAATGTCAGAATGTTCAGGCGGAAAAGATTTAGTATAGATTTGAAGCGATAGATGAAAATGTTTCAATGTCAGATCTCTCTGATCAAGACTTTTACGAAGGCTATCAATGTTAATGTGCGATTTACCCGAGTAAGAGTGATGAAGAGGAAGACACTTCTTCCATATAGACAATGATCTCTGATAAAATTCTAGTGCTTCAAAGTATTTCTTCTCTTTCTCGTAGACAATATTCATATTATTCAAATATGCAGCAACATCAGAATGATTTTCGTCAAATACTCGTTTGTAAATTGTCAATTCCTTATTATATGATTCTAATACACGCTTATAACCATCTTTCTTTCGGTAAACAATGGCTAACTTATTCCAAGCTCGATTTATACTCAGCTTTATTATCTGCTACTCTTTCAAGTTCAAAATAACTGACATAGTCGTAGCCATCACAATAACTGTAGTAATTGAAAATAAGGTAACAGCGTTTTCATTATTAATAAAAGTTTCGAAATAGTTTGTCTTTTTTATCTTTGACGCCATTTAGATGTATTCTTTGAAAAACTTAGGAAAAGATGCTGGTAGTTTGTTATCACCAGAAGGTACGTGCGTTATTATATTGTGTTATCTTTACAGAAAATAGACCTGCAAGAAAAATGAGAAACAAGAAAAAAAAAGGTGGTGTGAATGAGTAAAAACCCTTGATTTTATACAGAAAATCTCTTCAAATCATCTTGACCTTTCTATTACAAATGTTGACAATATGAAATGAACTATAATTTAAAAGTATAACTAGAAAAATCTTTTTTTTTAATATTTTGGCTAAGTTTATCTTTCAAATTGAAATGTTACTCGATACATAAAGCATTGAATCATCATTTTTCATGTTACAAACTTGATATTTATAAATAAAAGACATCATTCTAAAACTCACCAAAGTCAAATACAACCTTTTCAGCCAATCACAAAACTCAGAGACCTAAGTATATTTGAGCATGTGGATGAGTAAGAACTTTTACATATATCTTCAAGAAAAGTGGTACAATTGTTAAACAACAAAGCACATGTCAGAGACACGTGTGAACATGCAGAATTCATTTTTATACACAGAATTTGAATATAAATAGAGTTACTTCACTATTCCGATATCTACTTACTTTAGAACTACATTCAAAACTACTGAATATGATACCATTCCGACAAAATTGCATACGCATAAATATGCAGTGATACAAATTATTTACAAATTTGAAAAAGCAAACAGAGTTTTCCTGACAGTATATATGATTATAAGGCAATAGATTTATTTTTAATGAAA